TTAAAGGCTCTTCTACTATTCCTCAACTGTCTCTTCTCGGAGCCAACGAACGCAGCTCACTTACTTAAATACAGGTCTGGACCTGAGGCTGCACTTCGCTGCTTTCCCACACAGAGAGCCAGTACGTGGGGTTCGTTCTCACCTCTCGGGACGAGAGCGACCTTTATCTGTACTGTCCTAACTGATTCACAGAAACCAGGGCCTCTTCTTCACCCCATATGGGCCTGGAGGGCTTGAGAGGGCTTGGGTGAGCCCCAGGGTGCCCCAGGGCCCTTCCCTGCTGCTTCAACCCGGGTCAGCTCAGAAAGAAGGCTTCAACCGGACCACTCAGAAATGAAGGCTTCAACCACTTCCCTGTCCCTTCGTCTCCCACCCAAGACCAGGAGTCCCAGTCGAAAGAAGTCTAGTCCAAACTTTTAAAATAAAGAGGCCAGCAGGTGGCATGGTAGTTAAGGTGCTGGACTCCCACGTGGCCAACCCCGGTTAGAATCCTGGACCTGGCAGCTTGATTTCTTACTTTCCTGCTCTCTCTTTCTGTCTTTCTCTGGTGAGCATGCATGCCCTGTAGCACTTTTTTTTTCTTTTTTTCTTTTTTTGAGAGTTTTGTTTTTTGTTTTTTGTTTTTTTTTTGCTATAGGGCGTGTGCGCTTGCCAGACAGACAGAGACAGAAAGAGAGAAATCATCCCCCAGGGGGGATGGCCAAGCCGCAATCCCTTCTCCTCCATTCTCCTCTTGGGATCTTGGGCACGCACACACACGCGCCCGGCCTGAGTTTAAGCCACTGGGCCTGGGACTCGAACCGCGGTCGACTACATGGGACTCCAGCGACATAGCCATTATGCTAACTGCTGGTCCCCCCTGTACGTCATTTTTAAAAATATTAGTAATCATCATCAAAAATAAAATTAAATAATTATTTTTAAAAAGAAAGAAAGAAAGAAAAACTAACTAGCCTTGTAATCACTTGCAAAACAGAGGACTATGGTCCCCATGTGACTTCCTGAATTTACTATGTAATGTTTCCTATGTGTTCATGTCAACATTTTAAAAAGTGGTTCTTGGGAACCAGCAGTTAGCGTAATGGCTATGTCGCTGGACTCCCACGTAGTCGACCGCGGTTTGCGTCCCGGACCCAGTAGCTTAAAACTCACGCCGGGCGCGTGTGTGTGCGTGCCCAAGATCCCGAGAGGAGGATGGAGGAGAAGGGATTGCAGCATGGCCATCCCGGGAGGGGGGAAAGGGGGTGATTTCTCGCTTTCTGTCTCTCTGTCTCTCTCTCTGTGTCTGGCGAGCGCACATGCCCTGTAGCAAAATCTCTAAAAAAAAAAGTGGTTCTTGAGGCCAGAACCCTCTCTTCTTTGTGAATACTAAACACACCGCCTAGTCTAGAAGTGGAGGGGTACTGAAAAAGGCCCACAGCTAAGTAACGGGAAAGGGATCTCACCCAGAGGCCCTTACTACCTCAGAGGCAGTGAGTTCACACAGTTGCCGCCCACTGCAGATGGGGAAGAATATGTGGAGGTGCAGTTGTGCTAAGACCCTGCTGAGGCACGCGCACTTGCTCGCTTGCTCTCTCTCTCTCAAGATAAACGAACTTTGGAAACCAGCAGTTAGCGTAATGGCTATGTCGCTGGATTCCCACGTAGTCGACCGCAGTTCGCGTCCCGGACCTGGTGGCTTAGAACTCACGCCGGGCGCATGTGCGTGCGTACCCAAGATCCCGAGAGGAGAATGGAAAAGGGATTGTGGCGTGACCATCCCCTCTGGGGGGTGATTTCTCGCTTTCTGTCTCTCTGTCTCTGTCTGTCTGGCGAGCGCATGTGCCCTATAGCGAAAACCTCTCCAAAAAAAAAAAAAAAAGATAAATGAACTTCTAAAAAAATACTTAGAAACCTAAGCCCCACCAGCCCACCCACCCCCAGAGACCACACTCTTACAGGATCTTGTATATATAAGACTTTCATATACAATATATGTATACTACTTTTGATAAATGATAATCACAATGTAGGTGTTCAGTGTTTTCATCTATGTAGGACACATACACGCAGTGGTTTTAGGGTAGCATGCTTGGGAAAACAGAAGCGGATCACAGCTGGTTGCAAACTCAGCAAAAGCCATATCTGAGCATATTGGTAACCCACTGGTGGCACCCCGTGCAAAACACTAACAGAACTGGGTGCGTGAACATTTAGGTGTTACTCAGAGACTTGGCAAGTCCAGTTTCCAACTAGCTGAGCTTTAGATCAGACAGAAGTGGGTTTGAAATTGTTCTTTCTGGCAGGTATTTTTGTGGCATCACCCTTTATGTTGCCAAATATTTGGAGGGAGGGAGCCACAGAGCAGTGCCACAGCCTTAGCAGAGAGCTGGGCAGAGGCAGGCTTAGTAACTCCTGAGAAGCCACCCTAAGACACTCTGGGAATAAAAAGCTCTCCCAGCTCGTTCAGAAGGGAGAGCAGAGCCAGACCTTCTTCAGAAATCATGTAGAAGAGGGACCAGCAGTTGGCATCATGGCTATGTTGCTGGACTCCTATGTAGTCAACTGTGGTTTGAGTCCTGGTGACTTAAACTCACGCCAGACGCGTGTGTGTGCGTGCCCAAGCTCCCGAGAGGAGAATGGAGGAGAAGAGACTGTGGCGTGGCCATCCCCCTTGGGGGGTGATTTCTCACTTTCTGTCTCTCTGTCTCTCTCCATCTGTCTGGCGAGCGCACGCGCCCTATGGCAAAAACCTCTCCAAAAAAAGAAAAAGAAATAATGTAGAAGGTACTTAACGCAGTCTAGTACGTCCCACACACCTTGCCAATATAATTTCTCATTTCACTTTTTCTCTTAGATTCTACTTTTATGATATGAAGAGAAACAGAATAAAGAACAATGTAAGGGAAAATATCTGTATCCACTGAACGAAACAATAGTTATTAATAAGTGTTCTTTTTAAGAGACCAGTGACTATATGAATTGTAAAAAGGAAAACTAAAAAAGCAAGCTAATGATTATAATTTACACCAAGTACAATTTTCAACAGCAATGATATAGAACTAAACTATCCTGAAGACCACTTTAAAAATATGAAAATGAAAAGAAAAGTAAAATAGGGGTTGCTGGACTCCTATGTAGTCAACTGTGGTTTGAGTCCTGGTGACTTAAACTCACGCCAGACGCGTGTGTGTGCGTGCCCAAGCTCCCGAGAGGAGAATGGAGGAGAAGAGACTGTGGCGTGGCCATCCCCCTTGGGGGGTGATTTCTCACTTTCTGTCTCTCTGTCTCTCTCCATCTGTCTGGCGAGCGCACGCGCCCTATGGCAAAAACCTCTCCAAAAAAAGAAAAAGAAATAATGTAGAAGGTACTTAACGCAGTCTAGTACGTCCCACACACCTTGCCAATATAATTTCTCATTTCACTTTTTCTCTTAGATTCTACTTTTATGATATGAAGAGAAACAGAATAAAGAACAATGTAAGGGAAAATATCTGTATCCACTGAACGAAACAATAGTTATTAATAAGTGTTCTTTTTAAGAGACCAGTGACTATATGAATTGTAAAAAGGAAAACTAAAAAAGCAAGCTAATGATTATAATTTACACCAAGTACAATTTTCAACAGCAATGATATAGAACTAAACTATCCTGAAGACCACTTTAAAAATATGAAAATGAAAAGAAAAGTAAAATAGGGGCCAGCAGGTAGTGTAGTGGTTAAGGTGTTGGACTCCCACATGGCTGACCACGGTTTGAGTCCTGGACCCAGTGGCTTCAAAATCACACTGGGTATGTTGTGTGCATGCCTAAAATCCCAGGAGTAGACCTGAGAAGAGGGACTGTGGCGGGCCTTTCTCCCAGGGGTGATTTTTCACTTTCTGTCTCTGTCTCTCTCTAGTTACTCCTGAAATTTGGGGCACACACACATATGTGCCTGGTGTGAGCATACATGCCCTATAGCAAAAATCTCTCCAAGAGTAAAAAGAGTAAAGATAGGGTATGAACTTTAGTCTTATAATATGATGAAAGCAATGCATTAACAATTGTTTTCTACCAACAAATGGAGCCGTCATAATTTCATTATGGTAAGAATGGCTTTCAGGTCCAGTGAAAATTACATATAACTTTTCTTTAAAAATGTTCTTTTTTAAAATTTCAAAATATTTTACTAACTCGGGAACCAGCAGTTAGCGTAATGGCTATGTCGCTGGATTCCCACGTAGTCGACCGCGGTTCGTGTCCCGGACCCGGTGGCTTAAAACTCACGCCGGGCGCGTGTGCGTGCGTGCCCAAGATCCCGAGAGGAGAATGAAGGAGGAGGGATTGCGGCGTGACCATCCCCCCTGGGGGGTGATTTCTCGCTTTCTGTCTCTATGTCTCTCTCTGTCTGTCTGGCGAGCGCACGAGCCCTACAGTGAAAATCTCTCAAAAAAAAAAAAAAATTTTACTAACTCTTTCTGCAACAAATTTTTCAACAGATGAGATACTACCATTTACGGGCCAGCAGGTGATGTTGTAATTAAGGCGCAGGGCCGAACTCCCACGTGACCAACCGCGGTAGGAGTCCTGGACCCGGAGGCTTGAGATTGACAGGGGGCCCATGTGCGTTATGTACCAGATCCCTAGAGGAGAAGGGATTGCGGCGTGGCCATCCCCCCAGAGGGTGATTTCTCACTTTCTCTTTCTCCGCCTCCCCAGGAAGTGCACAGACCCTTTAGGAAAAATCTCTCTAAAAAAAAAATAATAATAAAATGATAGCATTTTTTTTTTTATAAATTCCAGTATATGTCAGAAACATCACAAACCAGGACAACATAAACAACAGCAAAAAAGAAACAAAACGTAAGAACTCTATTTATTAGCCTGCTACCTAAATATTACTTAGACAGACTACCTTCCTAATTATTATACAATTGTGGCAGTTCAAGTAAATTCTATAAAATACATAGTTCTAAAAGCAAATCATTTTCACTTGACCTCTCTAAAACTTTCAGACGCATGGACACGAGTTGTTTACCTTGTCCATTCCCACTGTTGTCAACATCAGCCAGACACAGGCACCCTTGATCAAACTCCTCCTCCTCGCCCAGAACAGAAGACCACCAATCACGGGCTTTAAATAAAGACATTTTCTTTCACTCTGAAAAGAAAGCATTTTTTATCATAAAAATCCACTCTACAACATGAATTAATTATCTCTTAAAGCACAGCAAATTAAACTTGGGACACCTCTGAGAAGAACATTTCTATATGAACTTTAATTTGTTGTATTTTATACATACATGTGAAAGCAAATTATTGGAGAGCAATGGTCTCCAAATTGTTGAAAAACACTAACTAGATATTTTGCAACACCTTCAGTAAACTGAGCTGGGAATTTACACATTAATGCTGGGCTAATTCTTCTAAGACACTGAGGAGAAAATTGAACAGTCATAAAAAAATATTCTTTGGAGGATCAAGATCCAAATTCTACCACTGCTAGCTAAGCTCGGTCAGCAATGAGACTGCAGAAGGTCGTTACAACAAACTCCTAAGTCAGTGAGGTCAACGTTGCCCAGTGACCGACAGTGGGACTGGAGCACCCCAGGTACAGGGAGCACTTGTTCCAGCGTAGGCTGCCTGAATGGTTACGACAGAACACTTGAGACACGGTCTTCCTTTATTCTTTAAGGTTTTTGCAATAGGGTGCATGTGCTCACCAGAGAGACAGAGAGAGAGAAGGGGGACAGTAAAAAATCACCTTCCAGGGAGGATGGCCATGCCACAATCCCTTCTCCTTCATTCTCCTCCTGGGATTGTCAACACGCACCCACAGGTGCCCAGCAATGGTTTTCAAGCCTCCAGGTCTGGGGCTCTAATCATGGTCATGTGGGAATCCGGTGCCTTCACACCACCAGCTGGCTCCAACGAGGGAATTTCTTTTTATTTTTAAGAATAACTTTTTAAATTTTTGTTGTTTGTTTTGAGATTTTTGCTATAGGGCATGTGCACTCACAGGAGAGGTAGAGAGAGACAGAGAGACAGAAAGCAAGAAATCACCTCCCAGGGGAATGGCCACATCGTAATCCCTTCTCCTCCATTTTCCTCTTGGGATTTTGGGCACATACGCACACGCACCCAGCATGAGTTTAAACCACCGGGTACAGGGCTCAAGCTGTGGTCAACTACATAGGAGTCCAGAGACATAACCATTATGCCATCTACTGGTCTATATTTATTCATTTTTAAGAGAAATTTTTGCTTTAGGGCACATGCACTTGCTGGAGAAATGGTGAGAGCGAAAGTGAGAAATCACTCACTCCCCAAGGGGGAGGGCCATGTCACAATCCCTTCTCCTCTATTCTCCTTCTGGGATTTTAGGCACATATCGCATATACCCAACAAGAGTCAAGCTTCCAGGTTTGGGACTCACACTGCAGTCGGCCATGTGGGAGTCCAGCACTTTAACCACTATACCACCTGCTGGCCCCAAACAGGTGATTTCTTAAGAAAAGAGGCTGGGCCAGCTCCATGGCCTGGTGGTTAAGGGAGCTGTATCTCACATGGCCAGCTGGGACCTGCAGCTTAGGAAACACACCGAGGCGTACTCCTGCTGTCCCAAATCCCCAAGGAGAGCCAGAGAAGGGATGAGGTGTAGCGTGGTCACCCCCCATGAACGGTGCCTTCTCACCTCCGCCTCTCTCTCTCTGATGAGCACACACACCCTCCAGCAAATTAAAGAAGACCATGCACGTGTTTGCACATCCTCAGCTTTGCAAAGACGGGGGAAATGGAAGAGAAGGGATTGCAGCGTGGCCACCCCATACAGTGCTCTCTCACGCTGTCTCATCCCTCCCCCCTCTGACAAGCGCACACACTCTCTAGCAAAATTTTTTTTAAAAAGATGGTTATACAGTCAATCCTTTTTAATGTTTAATTTAAAAATGTGAAGTTTCAGGGCCGGCAGGTGGTATGGTAGTTAAAGGCACTGGACTCCCACATGGCTGACCACGGTTCAAGTCCCAGACCTGGTGGCGTGTTTTCTCACTTTCCCTTTCTCTCTCTCTCACTCTGTCCCTCTCTGGTCAAATTAAAATAAATCAATAAATAAGCAAATAAAGTTAAATTTAAAACAGTTTTGTAATTTTTAAGTTTCAATTGAAATTTTAAAAAGTAGAACCTGGGGCAACGACAGGGACTGGCAGAGCCCCCAGTGATCATCCGCCAGCAATCGAGACATCAGGTAACAACTCCCAGCACAGCAACAGCAACCCTAAGGAAGAGCACTTGAAATCTCCCAGGGAAGGCATGAAATTCAGGGCCCAGCAGGTGGCGCACTGGTGAAGTGCTGAACTATCACGTGGCCGACTGAGGTCCGAGTCGCGAACCTGGCTTAAACTCAGGCCGGCCACATGTGTGTACCCAAAATCCTGAGATAACGGAGAAGGGACTGCAGAGTGGTCATCCCCCCAGGGGGTGATCTCCTGCTTTCTGTCTCTCTGTCTCTCTGGCAAGCATGCATGTCCTAATAGCAAAAACCTCTCAAAAAAAAAAAAAAAAAATCTGGGACCAGCAGGTGGTGTAATGATTGTGTCACTGGATTCCCATGTAGTCAACTGCTATTTAAGTCCCGAACCTGCAGCTTAAAACTCACACCAGGCACATGTGCATTTGACGTGTGTGCCCAGAACCCCGAGAAGAGAATGGAGGGGAAGAGACTGTCGTGAACGTGGCTATCCCCTCTAGGGGGTGATTTCTCGCTTTGTATGTGTCTCTCTCTGTCTCTCCAGCAAGTGCACCTGCCCTACAGAAAAAAAAAAAAAAATCCTCTCTAAATAAAAAAAATTTTAAAAATCACAGCAGGGGTGTGTGCGCTGCCCAATATCCCAAGAGGAGAATGGACGAGAAGGGACTGTGGCATGGCCATCCCCTGGGGAGATCTGTCTCTCTCCCCCTCTCCCTGCCCCCAGCGAGCACACACCCCCTATGGCAAAAATTAAAAATAAAAATAATAAATCTGAAGTTTTTCTATTGGAATCCAAGACAAAAGCATAGACAAAGAACCAAAGCACGGAGGCGGCTAGGGTATGGAGAGCATGAGGGAGAGCCCCTAGCACCCCGGAGCCTTGTGGGCAGGAGTCCCAGAGCTAACCCTCTGCACCAACCCAGGCCCAGGAAAAAGGAAGTTCCTGAGATCCGTAAAACCACCAGAATTCCAGGGAAGGGTCTTAATCCCAACCCCTAGAGCCCGAGCAGCTGCAGTGTGGCTCCATTCTGAGAACAGAGCAACCGCTTGGAGCAAAAGGCCCGCAGCCTCCAGGTCTCTGCATCCCTGAGATCCACTGAAATATAGGAAGCCCTGTGGGTGGTGCAGAGGTTGCCCTGGCTACACTGGGCAATGGAGCAGGGACCCAAGACACAGGTGGGCCAGCACAGCAGGACTAGCGAGGTGGCTGGCAGGCCCCTCGCAGACTGGAAGCACCAGGCAGCTCACCACACCTGTTTGCATCTACAGCAGGGTTTCTTGGGACCTCCCCGCACAGTGAGTGAGAAAAAAGGGAGAGGAGGGCTGGCTGGAGGGACAAGGGCACCAGGGGCCCCTTCTTCCTGGACAGAGGGCACCAGCATCATGCAGGCCTGTCCAGGCTTCTGCCCACCTGCACTGTGAATGCCTGCCCAGCATGCCTGCCCACTGGCCAGCACCACAGAGACGCCCAGATCCACTCCTCCGCTGAAGGCAGCTCCCTCCCTCCTGCAGCCAGTCCCTGCAGGCCCAGGGCTACAGACCTGGGCCTGCAGGAGCTCCTCCCTCTCCAGGGAGTGGGGAGTGCGGACGACCTGAACTAGCCACCCAGTCCCAGCTTCTCAGCAGCACCCACGGCCCTCCATGCCAACCCACCCGGATCTTACCCACTTCCTGCCGACATCGCCACCCAGCACCCGCATGTCCTGAATGGGGTCTGAGCATGCGGCAACCATTGGGCGGGGAAGCGGCTGACACTGCAGTGAGGGAGCCCCCTTCACAGGAAGGAGTGCGCATCCCACCAAGTGCCTGAGTGTCAGAGCAGACACAGTCTGTACGGAAGGACGAACGGGAGTGCTTGTCCACCAGGGGCCCAGAGAATGCAGCAACTCCCTGTAGTGATGGACAAAACACACGGATCCTCAGCAACGACCAAAACCGCATTTCAAAATACTGCTCATTTTAAAAGTCAGTAAATGAGAGCATACCGACAAAAATCCCAGGAGATGAACAAAACCATCTGTGACCCGGGTGAGAGAGTGAACAGACCCGGTGACCCCAGAGGACAGGAAGGAACGCACTCAGCGGCACACTGCGGCTACCACAGCACCTCCATGACAACTAGGGCATGAGGTCAGCCTAGGAGCCTAAAAACAGACAGCTGGCTTTAAAAAAATACGGCACGTGCACAGCATGGAACACCGCTCAGCCATAGCGAACAGCCAGGCCGCCCTTAGGTACCAAGGAGGCAGGCCCAGAGCACATGGGGCCCAGTGAGAAGGCCAGGCATGGCGCTCGCTCCAGCTTCCGCGTCAGGTATCCCAGAGGTCCGTATGCCATGAGGACACGGAAAGGACTCGACGGCGTAAAAGCAGAGAGAGTGACGACAGACAACAGACACATTCCCGACGTGGCCAGGAGCATGGGGAGAGCAGCACCGACAGACACAGGAACGCATATAAACAGGCGGGCAGGCTACGGGGCAGCGTGCCACAGCAGCATAGAGCTGCTGTTCGCAACTCAACATGTTTGCAGAGACACGCCAGGGACACTGTTGTAGATGTGCACAACAGAACGTAATGCTTGAGGTCAGATAAACGTGCCTGTGTCCCTGATTTAAATGTCGCTCGCTGTACGCATGTCCTGAACAGCCACACTGTACCCCGCAGAGATGCGTTCAAGTACGGCCCAAAGCGACAGTGAGGACTATGGAAAAGAATGCAGGAGGCTCAGAGCAATGCCTGACGGACAAGTCGTGACTGCACCAGCACTGTCAGCCACAGCCGTGGAGCGGCTTCCGGACCGGAGTCAGGCTGCACCAGCGCTCTGCCACAGAGGTACACGTCACTAAGGTGTTGCTACTCAGAGGCTGAGGCCACACAGGGGGCCCCACCTCAACAGGCTGGGCTGACGCG